TTAGGAGTGAAGTACAATTATGAACGTTCCGAAGAGCAACACAAAGCCTTCTAAGATCTGTGTAAGAACTTTATGAACAAAAGCCTGTCGATCTGTCTTCACTGACCACAAATCCAAGGTCAGAAGATGCAGAGCAAGACATCACATCCCGAAGCAGGAGGGGGCCATCTGGCCTGTGGGCTTTGAGATCTGCAGAATCGCCTGGTTTGGCCCTGCTGAGGCAGCCACATATAGGACTTGAAATTCAGTGAATCTACAGAAGGGCAACTCTTCAGCTGATTGTTGACTATGACCCATGAGTGATGTTACAAATATCCAAATGGCCCTTGGCAGAGAAAGTTCCCCACTGCTGGCCTAGAGGAAGAGATTTAACAGGCAAAAAATAGAATCATTAATTGTAAAAAAAAATAAATGTTTGTGGAACTTCATAGATTCTACCCTTGTTAAAAAAGTGGGGATGCAGAGTATGAAGTGACCTCACTTTCCTGCTTATGGTCAGATTCGTAATATTCAATGCTGAGTGAAAGACCAGCGGTTCTCAACAGCATTTCATTAAGTCTCTCTGTGGATAAGGCAAGCTGTTCATACACATCAATTTTTAGTTTTGGAAAAGATCATTGAATAGAATCCTGAGAAATCAGTGGGTGATGTTTTGTAGTAAAATAGTTTCAAAACTGCTGCAGGTCATCGTGGTAGAACGGCTGGATGACACTTCACATGCTCATCGTGATGTCAGCAGTGGCATCGTTGTGATGTATTGTGGTAGAATTTCAGTACTTACTCCATCCAAACTTCCTGCTAACGTCTGGCACTGTGGCACCAAGTGTTAGGCGGCTGCTGGCATCCAGTGGTCCAAGTGCTTGGGCTTGTGCTGTCCCCTAAGAGGGACCTCGTTGGAGTTTCTGGCTCCTGGCTTTGCCTAACCCTGAACAGGGGGTAGGGACTTGCAAAGGGAAAGTTAAGGGCCCTCCCAGAACACAGAGAGGGCAACATGGTGCAGCTAGTAGCTGTGTATGTTTGTATAACCCTATAGCAATCTTATAGTATTAAAGTACCCAGTTACAATGTATGTGAACAGGTAAGGGAGACAAAGCAGCTAAGGTTGTCATGTCAGGCTCTGTTCAGGGCTGCCTTTTGCATGTGGATCTACTATGCCACATGCCTGTAGGAGTGAAACTACTTCTTTGGTGTCATGGTTATCTGCCAAGAATTGTAGCATATCGTGGCCGTTTTGAGAGTGAGCCAGTCGATGGGAGAGCTCTGTCTCCTATGCCGCTTTGCTTTATAATAAATAAATTAATTTTTAAAAAGATTTATTTCATTTTTATTGGAAAGTCAGATACACAAAGAGGAGGAGAGACAGAGAATAAGATCTTCCGTCTGATGGTTCACTCTAAGGGTGGCCACAAAAGCCAGAGCTGAAGTGCTTTGAAGCCAGGAGCCAGGAGCTTCTTCCAAGTCTCCCACATGGGTACAGAGTCCAAAGGCTTTGGGTTGTCCTATTGCTTTCCCAGACCACAAGCAGGGAGCTAGATGGGAAGCAGGGATGCTGGGATTAGAACCGGCACCCATATGGGATCCCAGGTGTACAAAGCAATGACTTTAGCTGCTAAACTACCATGTTGGGCCCCGATTAAATTCATCTTGAGAAAGAAATGTTTCCTTGTCTGAGAGAACACCTAATGGCAGAAGATCCCGGGACAGCAGGAGGTTGGGAGGCCTTGGTGCACTGGAATGGAAGGCTGTGGCATCCTGGGCTACCATCATGGTGGGGCTCAGGGTCAGGGTTGAGGCCATGGGGCTCATGGAGGACAAGGCATGGCTCCTGTCCAGCTGGGCCTCCCTGTTCACCCAGGAGTCTGAGATCATTGACTTTTTCCTGGGACATCCCTCAAGGGTGAAGACTTAAAGATGGTGCCAGTGCAAAAGCAGTTGTAGGCTGGCCAGTGGACCAGCTTCTGGATTACAGTGTTCCTGTCAGGCTGGGTGGGACAGGTTCCAAGGAGGGGCCATCATCCTTGATAGGCTCTTGAGCGTGCCCCTTGGAGAGGCTACTGGGGGAACAGGATCAGCAGACCCCATCCTGTGCTTGACAAGGTGATTGTTCACCATACCCCTTTGCTGGTGAGCACGTTGCCAGTGCAGAGCTCCTGTCTCCAAGAAGTTGCTGCTGATGGCTGGTATTGATGATTGCCACACCTCAGCCAGGGGCTATACTCTGATGATTAACAATTGCTGCCCTCCACCCAGGCAACTTTGCCAAGCACACCTGTGATGCTGTCTGACTCCTCCCCAAACACCTGTCTGACCCTTAACCTCCGGAAAGAGGCTATGTTCATCAGGTATCCCTATCAGGAATGCACTGATTGCATTCCTGTGTCTGTGCAGGGGACCCAGGCTCTGGTCATGGTGTGTGACGTAGGTTCCTGTGTAAACACAGGAAAATAAGTATGTGTCAGAAGGGATGGTTCTAATGAGGCATTTGTGTTGTAAGCATTATAGGTATTATTTGATCTTCCCAGTACCAGAGAATTTGAGACTATTAGTGTATTTCAGCAGAGTGGGAAACGGGGAGTGAGCTGTTTAACTTGTCCAGGGTCAAATACCTGGGAACTGGCAGACCTGTATTGCAGCCTCAACAGACCGACCTCAGAGCCGGTGCTCTTCCTCTCTCTGGAGCCCCAGCTCTTAAGAGGCAAGTCCTAAAGGCACTTACGATTCACTTTGTTTCAAAACCCAACTCTTTACTCTCACTTTCACCATTGCTGTGTCTTAGTGATGCTCCGTTTTCTTTGTCATCTCCTTTGTGTGATTTTCTGAAACCAGATACCTGGTGTGCACTCTCAAATGCAGTCAGTCGTCATTCTACTCATCACTAACCAGTTCAAATTTTGCCTCTTGAAAAGCTCTTGAACCTTTTACTTCTCTTTATTTCTGCCACTGCCAGCATCCACCCAGACCTGTTACCTCCTTCCTGGACTGCAGCATGCACCTCAAAGTTTCAATCCCTATTCGCTTCAAACATAGACTATTACCCATCTCCTCCTCTCAGAGCCCTAGTGTTGTGTTGTATGTGTGTGTTTATACCTCCTTAATCTCCTTAGGATGAAGGGCAGACTTTGAAGCAGCACCTGCAGAATGCTGGCGTGCGCTAACCTGTCATCTCTCACGGACCACTGTTTTCCCTTGGAATGGCACTAGGTGTGGACCCGAGTTCCACCATCTTTGCTCACTCCCGTCTTGAAGTCCTCATCCTTCTTGTCTCAGCCTGAGTGGTTTTGTTTTAGATAAGCTTTCCCTGGCTGTCTCCCCTTGTCCTCAGACATGGCCAGCTAGGGCCACAGTGCTGTAACACTGTGTGTAGCACTTAAGACATTTTGATTGTACATTGTAATGATTGTTAATGTTGTCTTTCCCGCCTGGACTCTGGTTCCTTGAGGGCTGAGCCCCGTGACACATGTGAGGTATATTTGAGTGAATGACATGTGCGGTCTTTGCTGGTTAATTTTATCCTTGAGGAAACTTTCATTTTGTAGTATAGTTAGACTGCTGCTCAGTAGCTGCAGTTGGTGTTTAAGCTCTCCAGGGCTCCGTTTATCCCTTCACCTAATGGTGAAAGATTGAGTTCATGCTTGTAAAGCGCTGGGAGCCTCGCCTGAGCCTGAGCTGCAAGTGCTCAATATTGGAATCCACCCAAGGTGGTACTCTGGTTTTGTGCAAGAGCCTGCCATAGAAACCAGTTCTCCTTCCTGCTTTTTTTCCATAATGAGCTTATATGGAATTTTTGCAAATTTATTTTATTCGGAGTTGAGATTTTTGCAGTTTCCTTTAAAAATGAGTTCACACAGTTGCTTGCACAGAACCGCCTTGGGTACACGTTGTTGTCTTCAGTCTATTCCAGTTTCAAATAAGGAATGTGCCCACCCGGACTCAGGGAAGCAAACAGCAGAAACACTGCTGCAAGTTGAGAATTTGCACTTTTCAGGGAATCAGAGGTCTGAGAAGGTGAAAAAGAACTTTGCATGTCAAATTAAGGTCTTTGAATTCAGACAGGTTTTTTTTTTTTATTGATTACATTGTATTATGTGACACAGTTTTATAGGCACTGGGATTCCCCCCTCCCCTACCCAAACCCCTCCCCCCTTGTGGATTCCTCCACCTTGTTGCATTACCACAGTTCAAATTCAGACAGGTTTTTGAATGAAATAGTTAAAGGATTTTAAACATCAGGTGAATTCCATATACAGGAGTGAGTGTGGCAGTTGGAATGAGAATCCAGATTTAGAAGATGGTTTCTGATAAAAATTAGAGGAATAGGAGGGAAAGCTAGGTTTTGTAAGAGAGTAGTGAAGTTTCTTCTTTAGACATTGAGTTCGAACTGCAGACTGGGCTTCTAAGTGGAAGTGCTTCAGGGTAAGTGTGTGGGACAGAAGTCAGGAGTGATGGAAATCCTGAAAGCTGTGTGGTTATGACAGAAACAGGAAACAAGCTATTCACAGCTGGCTTACTAGCAGAAAGCAGGTCATGTAATAGGTCTTTGTGATAAGGTTTTGCCTGTCCTTACTTCTGTACAGTGTATATTTGAGGGTGATGAAACTACATTTTAAATAGTGTCTTAGAATTTGGAGTTTTTACTAAGTGTGGCCTTCCATTTAGTCAGTCTGATAGAGTGATGTAAAACCTAGTGAAATGTTTGCTTATGACTTGGATAATACATAAGAATAGAGAGATTGAAAGGGACCTTATGTCATGAACTTCTCCATGGAAAGATTGAAGGAAAGCTGTGACTGTTAAACACCAGGTTAGTTTTATAAATGTTGCAGACACTGTGTTAAGAGTAGGCTTGTCCTAAGAAAGGTCCCCAGACCAAGGAGGGAGAAGGGGCACTCCGTGAGGCGGCGGCTTTGTGGGTCCCAGGCTGACTAGAGCTGTGCTGTGGAGTCTGTTCTCTGAATATCTGATTAACTCAAGCGCATGCGTCCTTTTCTCCCCTTCCCTAGGAATTGTGGTGCTTGGGATCAACAGAGCCTACGGCAAAAACGCACTCAGTAAAAATCTGGTTAAGATGGTGAGTGTGAAGGTTAAACGTCTGTTTCTAATGTGAAGATACAGTGTTGATACCTACCTGAAATGAATTCTGTCTTTTCCTTCCCTACCCTCCGTGTTTTGGTTTAGCTGTCAAAAGCTGTGGATTCTTTAAAATCTGATAAGAAAGTGCGGACTGTAATCATCAGGAGTGAAGTCCCAGGGATCTTCTGTGCTGGTATGTAAATGACTTTCACTACAAAATTAAATTACCATTTATTGCTCCTCAAAAATGTCCAGTTTTCCATTAAAATGTTCTATGGTTTGACACCCGTTATCAGCTCTTCTTTGTCAGTATTAGAAAGTTCTGCAAAATATGGGTTGTTTTGCAAGTTGAAAATACTTGGAAAATTTGCTTATAGAGCATGAATGATATTTATGAAACAGTAGCTAGGGAGGAAAAACTGGGTCTCTTTTTACAGTGTTGTGTGCTGTACTTACTCATTACCTTGAAAATACTTTGACTAGTAATAACTGGCCCGTTTACAAAGTGTGAAGTATAGGTGTTTGCTCCAAAGATTGGGGGAGTAGTGTCCAGCCAAGGGCGTGCCCATGTGTTGTACAGTACTTTTACATTTGTGTCTGCAACAGTAAAATAATCGATTCACATGCATGTATTTTTTTCTTTGGGGTACGTTACGCAAAGCTAAAGATTAAGTCCGCTGGCATTGTCCATGTCTCAGTGTTTCTAAGCCATGATATTGAATTAATCCATTTGAACTAGCAAAAAATACAAATGATGAAGATAAGTACTAATGGCTTGCAGCTTCAGTATACCTTGTGAATAATCAAGTAAACATAGATATTGATTGACGCATGAAAAATAACTTTTAAGTAAAAATATCAGTGAGATAATTGCCTTGAAGTAATCAGAGTTTGAAGTAATCAAAGGGTGTGATGTGCGGTGTTTTATTCATTAAGTGATTAATCTCTGAGCCTTTTGAGTACATAACATCCAAAATTAATCTGAGAATATAAGAGAATATTTCTTTAGAAAACATTTTTTTAATGATGATTTATTTGAAAGGTAGAGTTACAGAGAAGGGAAAGACTTATTATGTTTTGGTGTACTCCCCAGATGTCCACGCCCACCAAGACGGGGCTGGGCCAGGGAGAAGCTGGGAACCACGCCCACCAGGACTGGGCTGGGCCAGGGAGAAGCTGGAAACCCCAGAGCTCTTCCTGTGTCTCCCATGTTGGTGGCAGGCACCAAGATACTTGACAGTTAGCAGGGAGCAGGACTGGAAGCAGGCAGCCAGGACACAAACTGGTGCTATATGGGATATGGGTGCTTCAGGTGGCAGCTATTCCTGAATGCTGCCCTTAAGGGCTCTTAATAAGCCTTATGTATGGCTTCTACCTTAGAATGCTTCAGAATGTAACAATGTTTCATGTTATTTGGGTAGATGAGTTCTCTGTTGGCTTGGCTAAGTGTATTGTAATATGTTTAAGAAGATAGGTTTTAACTATCTATGGGTGGTTCTGGAGGTTAACCATTTGTGCACTGTGGGTGGAGGCTGAGAGGCCCTCTCGGGGCTCTTATGGGCTGAGTGGGACCTGGAGAGAATGGTGTAAGGAAGGCCCACCTGTAGGAATCTTTAAAGAGGGATAAACTGTGATACCAGAACAACACTTCATAATTCAGTGTAAGTGATCATTCAGTAATTATCTTGTATACTTAGCTACTAGAATTCCTTTTATTTTTTTCCTGCATATCTATATTGGTAATATTAGCAATATTCTTTGAAAAATAAAACTTTAGTGCTTGCTTTGTTTTTGGCTGTTAGAGGTTGCCTTCTTCAGTATAGACCAAATAATAGGTCAAATGCTGCTTTTCATATTAATGAGTTAGCCTTGACTTTTTTCCAAGTCAGTAAAAATCTGTGCTTTTAAAATTTTTGCATCTTCAGGGTAAGGTAATCTGTGTTTTAACTCATAAGACTGGAGGTTCTTGTCTGATTTATAATGGAAATTGGCAAGTGGTCGATGTTCATCCCAGACGAGGTTTATTGAGGCTCAGAACCTCTGGCAATCGAAGCGCTACAGAGGGTTTTATCAGGATGGAGTGGCATAGCCATGCCCTCTGCATCTCTTCAGCACACAGTGTTTTAGTTTGCACCTGCTCAGAATTGTGCACAGGGATGGGAGCTCCTTTAGCGTGTGGCATGCTCAAAATGGCTGCGTTGCCCTCTGCTGCCTTCCCAGGAAGATTGTATTTGGGTTGCATTAAGCTGTTCTAGACTGTGCCCTGGGTTAGGGAAGTCCTTAGCAGGGCAATAGGAGGTAGCTATGGTCTGGACACTTGCTGTGGATGGGCTTTGAGCTGGACTTCGAGTCTCTGGTCAGGGATGGAGAATAGGTTTGATTGGTTGCAAGGGGTTTGATGAGTCATGTTTCTGTTTTGCACAAGTTATTTATATTGCTGTGTATAGTGGAACCATTTCCTTCAGATATTTGTGAATAATTGTCATACATTCAAATTAGGCAGGCTAGTAGTTGTATCTGTATTAACATGTACACTAAAAATATCCCTGGTACATCAAGTCTCTATATAGTTAATGAATATTTAAATTCTGCATATCTATAAACATACTCATTTTTCATCATATCACATTTATCAGTTGTTGAAAATGCGATGTTTTACTTGCTTAAGTTTAATTCTTATTCTGAAGTAGTAACATTCAGGCATGAATTACTCCAGAGCACAGCGTACGTGGTGGGTGTTAGACCACAGCCGATGCTGGGTGGGATGTGCGCACCCTCTACGGCAGTACCTGAGATCCTGCCCTTGCTTCTGATCCAGCCTCCTTGGGAGGTAGTGGTCATAGCTCAGGTGGTTGAGTGCTAACCACTCACAGGGCAGACCTGAAGGGAATTCCTGGTTGTCCGCTTTGGCCCAGCCCAGCCCAGCCCAGCCCAGCCCTGCCCTGCCCTGCCCTGCCCAGCCCTGCCCTGCCCAGCCCAGCCCTGCCCTGCCCAGCCCAGCCCAGAGCCCAGAGCCCAGGCTCTTTGGGACATTTTGAGAGTGAAGTAGTGGATAGAAGCACATATTCTGTCTGCCTTCCAAATAAAAATAAGTAAATCAAAAGCCCCACGTGTCTATTTGTTGATTATTGACACTTGTCCATCCTCCCAGAGTCTCTGATTTTCTTCCTCTTTTTTTGACTGTGCAAATACTTCTCCTCTCTGTAGATCTGTAGTTTGGTGGTACTGTGTTCTTTCCTAAGAAACTTAAAGCTTGCAGAGTGCTCTGACCTCAGATTTCTTGAGCATGGGCTATTCTCTTACTCTTTGAGAATTGCCTTTTGGGCTGTCAGAACACAGTTCATCATCGGGACGAGCTTTTCAGCAGCGCGTGAGGGTCCCGATGCTTTCTCAGGGGCTGCCGAGACGTATTACACAGTGGCTCCAAGCTGGCTTAGAGTCCTTTGTTGTGTGTTCACGGAGTCTCTGACCGAGTGCTTCCTACACTTTCTGAAATGCTGGGAACAGAGGTAATTAAGCACTGTTAAAGAGATTCTTAAATGGCATGGTGGTTAGGCCAGGTCCTTGTTTTCTTTTTTAATGATTTACCTATATGAAATGCAGAGTGACAGGAGAGAGAGATCTGCTGTGTACTTTCCAAATGGCCTCAACAGCTGGGACTAGGTTAGGGTGAAGCCAGGAGGCAGGAACTCAGCCTGGGCCTCACCAGTGGGTGCAGGGACCCAACGCTTGGTCTATGCTCCACTGCCTTCCCAGGTGCATTAGCAGGAACTGAATTGGAGGGCTATGGCGGCTTAACCAGCTGCACCCAACACCGGCTCTAGACCAGGGATTTTCCTGGCTTGACATTTAAATCTGTTGCTTAGAATTGGTCATCGTATTTCACTAAATTCTTAATTCTTAATCAAACTTCGGTTTAAAAAATTAGGGAATAAAAATGTATGGAAGGGTGTACCAAGAGAAGTCTTACTCTACCTTAATAAAAATGATTTTCATAATACTATTCTAGTGTTTTACTATTATGTATTAATATACACATGTACTCAGGGTAGCTATTTCAGATCATAACTTTGAAGACTGTTTCTGTGGTATGGAAGCTATCAGCCCTAACCCATGATTGTAAATGAAAACCATTTGCAAAGCAGCAATAATAGTGGACGGAACATTTTGCAAAATACCATTTTGCTAGAGAAGACTCATCGTGAAGCATTGGTCTGGATGTGTGTTGCTTCCCCTATGGCTTCTAGCAATTGTTTATTCATTTAAAAAGTGAATTATGTTTTGCATATGTACAGTGTTAATTTTTGCTGTTTTAAAATGTGCAAGTAGGCAGGTTTTTAAATGACTGCCTGAATTGCCACTGCACTAAATATAAATGTATCACAGCTATGTTTATGTTTGCTCAGCTATTCTTTTTTGTTGTTGAGATTTATTTTTATTGGAAAGGCACATTTACAGAGAAAAGGAGAGACAGAAATATGAATCATCCACTGGTCCACTCCTCAGATGGCTGCAACAGCCAGAGCTGAGCTGATCTGAAACTAGGAGCCAGGAGCTACTTTGGGATCTGCCATGCAGGTGCAGGGTCCCAAGGCTTTGAGTCATCTTCTGCTTCTTTCCCAAGCCACAAGTAGGGAGCTGGATGGGAAGTGGAGCAGCTGGGACATGAACCGGCACCCATATGGGATCCTGGCACATGCAAGGTGAGAATTTAGTCACTAGGTTGTCATGATGGGCACTGTTCAGCTATTCTAAAGCCAAGTAGCATGGTGCATATATATATATTTTTTAACCATAATGCCTCTGAAGTAGAGTTTTGTGAGAAATTACTGAGATTGATGATATTTTTCCTGTTGAAATTCCTAAAATAGGTGATAAAGAATTCTTAGTAATTGGTACTATTTGTAGAACTCTAAATTGAGTTTCACTGAATTAAACCAGTATGGACTTTTTTTTTTTTTTACAAAAAAGTGAAGATAGTTTTACTTCTGCTTTTGAATTCTAGTAAATTGTGTTATGACTACAGACTTCCAGCTAAACTCGTCAGAATACAGTTGTTGAACATTGTGTATACAAACTGTCAGAATGCATTGTTGAACACTGTGCATTGTTGACATAGATGTATACATCCTGAACATGGTCACATCGGTGGGAGCACACCAGTGACTAGTGGTCACCTGTTGAGCATCCTTT